CACTGCAAGGCAATTACCTGTGAACTAGAGCCCAAACACAACGCATTTGTGATTCAACAACATTCAGCGCTATCTTGACCCGCCATAGATCATACCAGTGGTGCTTGGCTGAACCACAAATGCATTGTGTACTCCACTGTCCTGAAAGAACAAGCCTAAGTGAGTAAGAACGATGACATCTACTCTTATGAAGACACCATCTATGGGATCTGTCACATGCATATTTTGTTCAACGTAGAATCACGGCGGATCGAAATAGCGCTGTTTGTTGTTGGGTTGATCATCGTTGTATGCTTGGGTCGATCATCGAATTTTGTTGAACAAACTTGATTACGGTTACGGAGGAAATAGTTTGCGGTGGTTCAGGTCTTAAGAATCAGTTATTGAAAACTAACCACTATTTACAAATTAGAGATTCTAGGTGCTGTGTGCTCCAGGGTTCATTATTGTTCTCTACTTTATTTGTAATATATGTCAACGATATTTCCAGATGATTTCACTATATTTTGGCACACTATTGATGAAGCTTCTTTATTCCATGGCATACAAGATGATCTTGAATAAGTAACTGGAATGACAATATTCTTCGTGTACTCATTATGCAAAAAACTACTTTGTTATCCTTCAGATGTGAATTGGAGACCATAATGTTTGATATTGATAGTGCCTTGAAACTCAATGAACACTTTAAAAAATTGTCAAAAAAATATTTTTTTTTGATGCTGTGCCATTAGAGTCATGAATGAATAAGTAATTTTGGTAGCAGCAAAATTTTGAATCTCATGAATCTCATATGGATATGTATCGTCCAAAATTCGACAATTTTGTTTGTACCCATTCCGTACCCATTCACCCAGAAGTGGGTCTCATCGCTGAAAATAATTTTTTGGTAAAAATTAGGTTCAGTCGCCAACTGCTCCAAAGCCCATTCAGCGAACACACGTCGTTGTCTATGGTCGTTCACCTTCAGTTCCTGGGTCATTTGAAATTTTGTACAGGTGTAGACCCAAGTCACGACGCTTAATTCGCCAAGTTGTGATCTGCGAAAGGCTAAGCTTTTGTGAGCGACGCGAAATCGGCTGCCACGGATTCTCCTTCACACTCTAACAGACAGCGGCGATGTTTTTGGCAGATCTTGCGTTTTGTCGACATACGGGTGTTGATCAATCATTCACTGAATCACTGGACTCAAATTCACCAACCACATTGCAGAAAATAGTCTTCCCGGTAAGACGATCATGGCGACCGAAAAATGGGCGAAGCGCGCGGTACGTTGCCCGAACATAACATCCATTTCAATGAAACAAATTTGTTATTAGCACGTGTTCTTGAATGCTATATCCGAACATGGTGATTTGACAAAACAGACTAAATAAATGACAACTAATTTGATAGATGTAGCTTTAACAGTATGGCTGTTATTAAATGTCAAAGTTCGAAGGGCCCCATATAACAGATTATTGAAATGATTGGAATCCATTTTTTTTTTATCCAATTCAATGTGGCTTTTGAAGGTCTACTGATACAGAATGTGGGGCTTTGGATATGATTCCGAATATTCACTTAGAATTAAATGAGTGTGAAATATGTGGACTTCTGTCATTAGACCTTTGTAAAGCTTTTGATACTGTTAATCATGAAATTTCATTGAACAAGTTATTTGTTGATAAATTGGTTAAGGCTTTTGCAGCCGAGACTTTCAGTCTTCCGTCTATCTTCATTCGAATTCGACCAACGGAAGACCAGTAAGCGTTACAAATGAAGAAAATTCTTTAAATGTCATGATAGTGGTGGTGGAAACTCCAATAAATTCGACGCAACAGAGGGCTTTGAGTCATAACATGAGTCGATATTACATTAAAAAAAATTGAAAACTGCAAAAATTCCATCCATATGAAGTTCATTTGGTACAAGAATTGAGTGGAGACGATTTCGATCATAGAATCGAGTTCTGTGAAGTTATCATGGATAAATTGAATGAAAATGTTAACTTTGTCAACCGCATATTGTTTTCTGACGAATTTACATTTTGTTCAAACGAGCACATGAATCGACACAACTGTAAGTATTGGTTAGACCAACATCCTCCTGGATGGAGGAGGTTCACGCTCAACGGCCACAACAAGTAAATATCTGGTGTGGCATTATTGGTGGACACGTCATAGGACCATATTTTGAAAACGGAAATTCGACCTCTGAACGATATTTATTACTTTCACAAGAACATATTATTACAGAACTATACCAATTTGCCGGCAGAACAATATGATTTCAACAAGATGGGGCTCCTCCACATTTTGAACGTGTGATATGGGCATATCTAGGTGGAACTTTTTCTGAAAAATGGATTGGACGCAGGGGAACAATTGAATGATCAACTAGGTCTCCCGATATGACCCCACTTTACTTTTTTCTATGAGATCACATAAAAATGTAGTCTACGAAAATAGGCCGCCAAATATCGAAGATTCACAAGGAAGAATAAGGCATGGAATTTTTACTATTCCTCCTCACATGATTTTAGATTAACTAGAAAATTTCGTTCAGCGAGTTCATTTTTGTCAGGAGATGAATAGTAAACACTTTGAGAACCTTATTGAGTAGAATTAAAAAAAATTGTCGTTCATTAAAACTTGTTTTCTCTCTTTTTCTCCTGGCATACAATTTTAAATATCCTGGACATTCATTTGAAAATACATTTTATGGTTTCATGCATTTTCATCAACCCTGAACAATTTTTTGTGATTTTCTGTAAAAAAATTATAATTAAATTGTAATCGTATCCACATGCTCCACCTTGTGTGACTACCATAATAAATATTCATCGTTTCATACTTTTCCTTTTATAGCTTTGAGAAAAGTAAAAAGTGATTTTCAAAATTCGATATTTCGAAAACGGTTTAATTTAGGAAATGATGTAGTAGATATATCAATTTTGTTTAGAGTTTTGGGGTGAATTGAAATATGGAATAATATACAGGGTGTTCTATTGAAGAAAAAGCAACTTCATTTCTTCAAGATTTTTCAACTGATACTGTATACTCAATTTTTATTCACTGTGATAGATTTTGAAAACCCCAAAACTTTTGTATACCAATATTTTTGCTAGCTATCTTAATTTAATCAAGAGATAATTAATTGACCGTTTCCATACATATCGGCGACCCTGTATATATGTATATAGGTGTGTGAGTGTCCCCTCATCATTGAATTCAGTTTCATTAGAGTCTGTATTTATTTGCGTTTGTACTTCTGTGAGTGATATTTCATTCATATTTGAATTTCTATGTAGGCACTGAAAATTACTTTGTCAATACGAATCAATACGACAATGAAGTTTATTCTAATTCTGATTATATTCACAACTAGTTGCCTTGCAGTTGAGTTTTGTGTCGAATCTATAAATGACGACTTCGTGAGGGAGGATGTCATAGCTTCCCTCGAAATTTCGACTTCAAACTCAACATTTCGAGGATTAAGTCGAAATTTTGAGTTTCAAGTCGGAATTTTCAAGAAACGAATAATAAACATATGTGACTCGTCTGCGCTTTCGTGAAATCATTCTCTTTCAACAATTTTCCACATCAAAGTGACGATACCGTCCTATGACAATCTTGGAATATCTCAAGGACAGGATGGGGTACCATACCACCGTATCGCGTATCCTGAAGAAATCGGCCATACTACAAGAGTTGAATATCGGTGATGAAAGAGATATTTTTTGGATTATATTCGGCAAAACATATCATAGTAACCAGCAGACGACATGATCTTCAGGATGAGGATGGGATCAGTGATATGGAATATCCTGCGGAGCTCTAAAGGTTCTATTATTACATCATGTGGACATTTAAGGGATTCTTCACAAGAATTTCTGAAGAAACTGTGTGTTATTCATATGAGCGTTGAGTTTCACTGCTTATCATCCAACCGGGACAGGAATCACACGTTAAATTGTCAGACCACATCATTTCTTGACTCGCCTTCATTTCGACTTTTGAGTGTTGTCGTTTGTGAAGGGGTGACAGCTGGTTGTCGGAAAATAGATTCAAACAGTTAAATTAAAATATCTCTCATCTGGTGAACAGATGTGCAAAGGAGGACCTGTCTTCGGGTCTTTTTTTATGTACTCTACATATTTTACTCCAGGTCTACGTCATCCCTAAATATGTGAGAACTATGGTGGTTTTCAATAATGAAATATATTGTATGCCATAATTGAAACGTTTCTGCTAGAGATTGAAGTTAATTTGCTTTCTTAGTCTTCGAAAGAAATTATTTTGGTACATATGTATATCGATTCAGATATGAAAACGAAGAGCCTTCACTTCAATATCCATTCAAAAAGTTACGTGTTTGAAATCTTTGTATGTTCCAAAACTGACTGAAAATGGGACAGTCATTAAAGTGAAAAAGCATTATTAGTTCGTTGTTATATAAAACAATGTTGCTTTCATGCGTATTGAATAATGAAACATAAATAAACAATTCAGAGGCGATAAAAACAATATGGTAATTCAACGCTATTTGATACAATATTTGGCACATCGAATATCAATGATTTATTTGTTAACGAAAACAAATGAACCAACTTGAACCATTCACCAAAAATCAATTATATTTCTCATGAAAGAATTATGTTGGTTTGATTTGTTCATATGGAAATGAGTGTGTGGTATGATATGACTGAAGTCGTGAATTTTACTCAAATTGAAATAATAACACGTCATTTTCTTTTATCAGTATTGAACACTTACGAAAGATGAGAAAGCTGAATGAATCAGAATATGATTTCTATCTGTCAGGAATATTTCTGCTACAGTTCAATTATTTTCCAAAACGTAAGGTTTAGTATTGTTGAAGGTTTGGTCTTTCATTGCCAAGAGTGTTAATGGATTTGAAGTCTACAAGAAGAAGAAAAAACTAAATATTAAAAATACTGGAACTATCATATATGAGCTGGTTGAAGAAAAAATAAAAAGGAAATGCTGGTAGTAATATGCTAATCAAAGTGGGAAAATAACATAGAATCAACAAAAATGATGATTAGTAAATGAGCTCACGATGCGAAAACTTGCAAACTACTTATGATTGAGGGAAACATTTATGATGAATTGCCGTTTCTAGACGGTGAAGAATCAAAAACAAGTGTAAATAAAACATAAACTCTCACGGAACAGTAGCTGTATTAAGAATACAACCACCACCAATCTTCATGGAGTTGAATCGTTGAAACCACAGATGATCGTGCATTCAGTCTCGATAACACGAACAGCAATGTCGACAAAAATCTGGGTCATATCAGGAAAGACTTTCAACAAAGTGGTAACTTCAACGAGTTGATATAACAGTCGACAACAAGATCCTTTCAAGGCAAAAAAGCCTTACACTCAGTACTCTTCTCAAAGGGGAAACACTGGTTCGAAAAGAAATTTGAAGAAGCTGCGTACATGTTGTGGACACATTCAGCCAAGCTCACTTTTCTTATTCATCACCATCGTTTCTTTCCAATTTTCATTTTTTATTGTTCGTATACACTATCGACATTTTACTATTTTTCAAATCATTTTGAGAAATCATTCCATTTCAAGATATTTCTTCAACACACAACAAATGTTCTCATACTGCAACATTCATACTCATCGTTTATTTCTATTCGTTCTTCGAAATTATTTTTTTATTTCAGTTAACCCATCTTTCTTCAAATCAATTTACACTTTACTAGGCAGTGATAATCCAAAGGTTCATCCATGGTCAACCACATTTGAACAAAGCTTTGGTAATTTTTGGCAAGGTGGTTCATCGTTTATCATGCAAGTTCAAAAGTTGGACTCGTTGCAGCACATTCAGGTTCGTTGAAAAAATTAATTTGATATGTTATCGATGAATTGAAAATAGAAATTTTATAATGGAATGTAAAACAGTCATTTCAACTCATGAAATGCATAACAGATGAAGAAGATAGTTCAAATGAGATTCAAAATATATACATGTGGAAATGAAGTAACTAAGGCCCTAGAAACATTAATTTTTTGAACGCTTTCCTGAACTCTGGGTTGAATATTGTATAAATTACTGGATTAACGAAACTATTCATATACCCCAGCCACGTGGTTAGTAGAAAAGCAGCAACCCCTGGCTGGCATGGAAGATTCAGCTTGCTGCACATAGCATCTAGAATATTGCAGGTAAAAAACGGCAACCAGCATATCAGAAATACGCCTGTAACAATAAGTCTTCGTCATATCGAGCGCTGGATTGGAACTCACCCTTTTTTTTCTAATACATCATGGTGTGCATTCGAATCTTATATAAATTTTGAACGTTTATCATTTATTGACTCTTTTTTTGTCGTTCTGATCTTGTATGAAACCAAACCTAACAACGTTACGTCAGAGGTTTTCCGTGAGCTATTTTTGTCTCTGCTGATGGTCAGGAAAATACTTAGATTCCAGAAGCATCTATCCCTTATACATCTTATACATCTTCATGCCATCCCCATAAACAACCAGAGAAGATTCTTATGTCAATGTGAACATGTGAGTCTCGTAAAAAAGACCAAAAGTATCGTGGGATAGAAGAAAAGGTTATTTGAAACTAATTTTAGTTGAACAGAACAGAACAGAAAAACTAGAAAAGTTTCAAGATACTATAATCAGCTATGCACAGAACAAATGTATTTGCACCAAGAATCAAGGAAGTATTTTCATGGAACTCACAAATTGAGTTATTCGGCGGATGAATTGGAATCAACAATTACATATCATTTCAAAATTTTGAGCATAAATTAGATTTGACGACAAACATTTAAGGTCATGTGTAATGTGTTCATTAGTAGTTTATGCTCATTTTATGGAATTCCCTAGGGACGAATGATGGAAGAAAACTAAATTATTTAGCATGGGTATCATGGCTATAAAATGGATATTATCGCATTTCAAGAACTCTGGCATAGATGAGATTTATGGACAAACATTGGAGGTTATATGCTCATTAGTAATTTATGGCACAAATTAAATTGAAAAGTGCTGTGAAAAATTGAAGGTATTTTAAATAAAATGTATCACATTGAAATGGGAAAAAAAATTTAAAATATGAATAAGCAGGCTCTGACTAAAACGAAAGATGTTGTCAATAAGAGCTATATTATGAACAATAAGAGAAATGATTCAATGAAATATCGTCGAAATCAAGGTGGCTCTAGACGATTTTAGTGTTATATGAACTGTTAACACTGAACAGTTATATTTAACAGTTATATGAACTGCTTATAGGTGCAGTAACAGAAGTGAACAACGACATATAAAAAACAAAGACTACCTGAGTTCTCGTATTAACCTCACTTAAAATAACTGATTATTTATGCATCTCTGCCAAAAGATCATTTGCAAATACCACAGATTGTTTCAAAAGTTTTGTCTGTTTAAATGGCATGTGTTTTTGTTGCTCCATTAAATACTGATTGATGGAAAATTTTGTACTCTGATGCTGTTCATTTTGTTTCAGTCTATAACTTTTTGCCTTTTTTCAGATCAATACTATATGATGTCGTTAAGCGATTTTCAGCCAATTTTTCTCTACAAATTCAAAATGAACCAGAACGCTGCCGAAACAAACTGGAAAATCAGCCAGGCATTTGACAAAGATAGTGTAAACGAACATGAATTTTCGTTTGGGAGATTCTAGTTTCGAAGATAAGTTCCGGAGTGGTCGACCTACACTAATCCAGGACGAGAATTTGAGGACCATCACAAATGGTGCGTGAAATGGCGAAAGAACTAGACGTCATTTCCCAAGTATACAACGTATTCACGATTTGGTCACGATTTGGACGATCTACAGAAATTGTCACGATTTGAAGTATGTTCATCTTTGCTTCTGCACAACCAAGACAATCCTCAATTGGATTGGATCGTCATGTGTCATGAAAAATTGACCCTTAACAACAACAGTTGTCGTTCAGAATAGTACTTGGCACTTCCAGTCACTTCTCAAAGGTGTTTTTCAGAAGCATAAACCCACCAAAAACGATCGTGGTTACTGTATGGTGGCCAGCGGTTGGTTTGATTCACTATAACTTTCAGAAACCGGGCCAAACCATTACAGCAGAGTCTTATTCTGGGGAAATCGACGAAATTTATCAAAAATTGCTAAAGCAGCAGCCGGCACTGGTCAACTGTATGGTGGTCAGCGGTAGCAAGTGTCAACAGAAGAGATGGGATTCTGCTCCACGACAACACATATCACAAATTACCTTCCAAAGATTGACCGAATTGAACCATCGTCTCGGTTATACCGAGACGGGTTAGAGCTAATCAATTCAATTTTCATTGAATATCAAACTGGAAATTTAGTAGGAAGAAAAGAGAAGGAAATGAATTGGAGGAGCACCTCATATTTTGATGAAAAAATTGAAGAAGGAAGAAATGGTAAATGTGATATACACCCGGAGAGAGCAGAAGACTACATCTCAAAGATATCGAAGGCCAAATTGTTAGAGGCAAATGATGGAGAAATGGAATAGATTTTCATAGATTTCAAGAGAAAGAAAAACAAATTGAGTTCAAAAGACACTAGAATGAGGGTAGGCATACCAAACAGTGGTGAACAGAGAGCGATGTGAAAAAATACTGGATAATAGCAACATGCTGGTGTTGCCTCTTACTGATGAACTACATAGAGGAAACCAAAGCAGATCAAACTAATGAATTTAAAAACTATAGTCTGGTTCACATGTACTTTTTTTTGCTTATTTTTTCAAAATTCCACAGACGGGTACAAAAATTACAACCAAGGTGTCACTAGATTCGTATTTTTACCTAAAAAGTTTAAGAAAAATACAAAAGTTATAAACAATTGAGTGAAAAAACATGGGGTTTTGGTTTTTTTTTGAATATCTCGAAAAATTTTCAAAATTTTGGAAATTTGAAAGAAGATTTGAAAAGATCAATGAAACTGCGTAAAAAAACCTCGACTTTAGAAAATGTATCTTAATTATTTACAATTTTTACAGGGCCCTGAAAATAGAGCCAAAAACGGGTAGTCTGACGTCAGCGCGCATTCCGTCACTCTGACATAAAAAACAAAACAAATATTTAAACATATTGAATGCGAATATTGATGAATGAAAAAAATCATGTGATGTTGGGATACATCATTAAACAATAATCCGCAGTCAAAAAAGTTTTACTTCAATTTTAGCATTAAGTATGCATTTGTTAATTAATAACTTTTTTTGAATTGAAAGTTGATATAAAAGCCCCTTTAACTATTAAACTAAAACCCTGGCTTCCTTCAGTGAAGTTATTCTCATTTTTTGTAATTTTTTCAGTGCCTTTTTGGACCCTTCCTCAAACTTTCTAAGTAAAAATACAAATGCAATGACACCTTGGTCGTAATTTTTGGACCCGTCTGTAAAATTTCACAAAAAAAAGTAAATGTGAACCAGACTACTAGGAGCTAGCCGTGTAAGTCTGGAAATGTGGTAAAAACTAGAGACATACAAAAATATCTATTGAAATATCTATTGACAGACGTCTGTATCAGTTTAATCAATTTTTTGTCTCAATATAAAACAATAAAATATTTGACGAATAGTCATCCAGCCATACAGCTACTTCTTCATGAATCGTAATCATTTATTTTTTCATGAATGCGAAAGTTTTCTGGAAATTGTTCAAATAATATTTGACATTAATATGAATTTGTAGAGAGCTAGGCTGTCATGATGATAAGAGGCAGATGCTTATGATATACTTTTGTTCTTTGTCAGCTCACTGAAAGGATATACTATCAAAACTACTCACCGAGCACAATAGCTAGAGTTTTTGTAGCTTTCCGTTCCTTCTTCGCTGACGATTTCTCTCGTTTCTTTCTACTTGCTTTGTTGACTTTATAAATTGTGAATCTGGCAGCGGCTGTCGCTTTCCTTTCTTTCTTAGAACCTGTTGACATTGGTTTTTCCATTTCTGAGTCTATTGTAGAAACCGTTCTGCAACAAAATATATCTGTTATTCATTCGTTGTAGAATTTGTATCGAACTCAAAATTATTAGACAACATCCAAGAGAGTACTTCATGATTCAACTTCTCTCCAATGTTTAAGTTACAGTTACAGTCTCATTCTCGTTGTTCATACTTTTTTTTAATTGGACATCTTCTTGGGTAAACTGGGTTAACACGAGTGGGAGAACGTGATTCTTGAATATTACAGAATGTGATAAATGAGTTATTTCATTTATCTGAGTGATTCGTTATAGACAAAACATTTCAAATTGGTATATGATGAAATATTTTGCAGTCAAATCAATAACACCAAAAACTTCAAAACGGTACATAGGCACTGACGTAAGTGGATAATGGGAATTTCGGAGTAGGGGGCGTCAGCTGTCAGTGGCGTCTGGCAAAACTTCTATAAAATCTCAAAAAGCATCAAAAAAGCATTTCGAAAACGTTAAAGATTGCTAGAAAACTTAAGAAGAAGTTCAAAAACATTCAGAAATTTCAGCGACGCTTTTTGACGATTCTTTGACTCTATTTGACGCTATTAAACATTTTCTAGTTACTTTATGATACGTTGTATTTTATATGCTTTTCGGAGCTTTTCAACATTTCCAGAAAGTCATTTGACACTTTTTGACGTTTCCTAGACCCTCCGCCAACAACTAACACCCTTCCATTCCGAAGTATCTCACAGTTACCCATTATCTACTGACATATATCGCTGTGAAAGAATTCAAGTGAACTGAATCAGTCGAAAACCTCCCAAAAAAAGTTGAGTTCACAAACTTCCTTCGATGTTTCAAGAAGAAAGCTCTCAGCCTCAGATGTTATCTAATTTTCCTCGAAAAAGACTGAGTATCCTCTGGATGGGAGGGTTATTGGCAGACATTATTGGCAAGTATCATCAATATTCAGAATTATCGTCCTGGAGACTGATGATGAAACCAGGAGATGAAGTATTGAAAATATATCACTTAATAATGCGGAAAATTTATCACATGATCTAGATCTTCTGGCAATTCGATATTTTTTTTGAGGACAAGACACAAACACTACAGGAAACTGCCCACGGTTGTTTCAGAGTGGTGCCTGTGCGGAAGTACCGATTCACATTGGATTTGAATCGTTGCAAAGTAAATTCATTTGAAAAAACGTTCTTAGGAAGTTTATTCCACATGAACGCAATTCTCCAGATGAAAGAGTTCTTGAACAGTGAAGTTCGAAATATACTGAGTTGAACGTCAAAACGATGAGCCGCCACTTGAAAACTTCTCGTGAAAACATCTATAGAAGAGAGACCTTTCTTCGATTTTCCAGGCTATCAAAGTTGCACTTGATGTTCGCGTCTGCAATCGGGCGAATGGCTCTTTTCTAGATTAAATCCAGCAGCTTCAGGGTACGCTTAGATGCGGAGCTTCATACATGACAACACTTCTCCAAAGAATGTCTGATCTGAGCTTTATCAAGCATCAAAAGTTGCTGGGGTGTGTACAGTTTTCTGGTTCGGAACAGTGTTCCAAGTTTTGAGAAGCAGCTTTTGCAATTCCAGAGATATGATTGTGCCAAAACATTTTGGTGTCCATTTTAATCCCCAACAAAATTATCGAAGCAGAAAGCGGAATTGTTTTACCTGACATTCGGTTTGGAGAAAACCGATGCCTGGGTTTTTGTGGCATTGAATTGAATCTGATTACGTTCACCCCTATTCGAAATCATTTCTGGATCCTCATTAAGATATGCCACCTCCTGCTGCTGGTGAAGATGTGCCTTCGTAGCCGATGTCCTGGAATCCAAATGGAATGATGAGACAAGTGTAATGTCGTCAGCAATATATTGGATTCTAAAATTGATTTTATTAAAACAACGATAAACATAAAAACAACAATAAAAATTAATTGGCGCTCCGGAGCGACTCCATTGATTCCAGTGGGGCATTTGCTTTTTCAGCTGCAGGAAAACCCGGAAAAATCTGCAGCACCACATCATCTGAAGATCCTGATCTACCAACGTCCTCTCTCTTTCAAAAAACAATATGTATGGTGTCTCCAGAGGCTCCAATAGATTCAATGCATCACCAGAAAACTTCGTGACACGACTATCGTCAAATTCAAATTCATCTATTTCGAACCTTCCAAAGAGTTTCTTGCTTCCGTCAGAGGTTGAGTCTTATTTGAAGATAATCAGTGTTATTATTAGATTGACTGGTGCCTCAGATATACTTGTTTCCTTATAACAGTCACTTAGTTTGGCGCATGTTTGGCAATACAGTCGATCATCACCTGTTAAAAATTACAATTTCAGATGATTCAATAATTAGCTTTGCACGGACTAGTTATTAGTCATATTAGGAAAAACTAGATGAAGTTTCAGAAATTCACATAAGTTTTCGCTACCTCTTGAACATTTACTACAAAGTAAACAAGTGAGAATTTTTCCAGCAAATGATTTACGAACACAAGACGAGATGGATTGTACGGAATCATTCAATCCAGAGCTGTCAGGAGTAGTGATTTTGCTATTGTTTTGCTCATGAAGAGTATGCAACAAGAACCCCAAAAATTCGGAACAATCCTCTTGTTGTCCTAACGAGTATCTAGTGGACTTTAAAGACTCTAGGAAATCTGTTGGAGGGAAAGATGATACATTCTTACGAAACTGCAGCTGCATGAATAGGTGTTTGAGTTTGATGAATAAGTAGGAAACATTCCCGTTCTCGTTCATCATTAAAACCCCGTTCTTGAAATTCTTCGTCTCGAACAACACTTTGGATTCTTGTCTTTTCTCAATAAGTCATTGATATACAATTAGCCTATAAGTAGTTTACAGCGATGAACTGAGCGACTAATCTGATGTTTCTGATTTGTTGGTAGTTGGTTTAACATAGGTACAGTAAACTGGATTCTAAAAAAAACGGAAAAAGTATAAAGTGAGATGAAAACCTAGGCGACAGCTCCTCATGTTTCTATATTTACCGCCTATTTCGTGTGATGATAGAGAAAATCATTCAGTATGAATAAAAAGAGAAGGATGACGGAAAAAAGTCGTAAATAGATTAAGTAACATGTTTGGATTTGGAATAAAAACTGAAAGTGGAAAATAACGGAGCAAAAATAAAAAATGATCATCACGAATAATGGAGAAAGTCTAATATCAACCAACATTACATTCTGTGACATTAAATAGAATCTAGAATATTTGACCAATGGAAATACATAGAAAGGGAGAATGAAAAGAAGGAATCGCTACAAGTATTCGAATTCGGACTTGGGATGATGAAAGTGGTTTTATTGTAGTTCCTTAATCTTCTCTTTCTTTGTGGGAGCTCTTCACTTTCTATATAAAATTGGAGAAACAGAAAGCAAAAACGTTTTGTGCATCAAAAATTCTCAAAATTGTATTGAATTACCAGAATAAAGTTCTTTGATCACTTGTGGAGGGTACCAAGAATGTTTATTGCTTTTGAAATTCTACGAAATGATACGATTCGTTTCATACCTGAGTTCTGTGTCATGAGCCGCTCCGTTTTTCTTAGCTGCATTTCGACTCTTTCGCGGACTCCCGAGCACAGATATATCCTGATGACTATGTACGTACCCTGAGTCATTATTGCCATTCGGATCGGACATTGGAGGAGGTAGGGTGGCAACTACAGTTGATATTCTGGAACAATAAAGAACTCAAGAATCTTGGAATACTCATAAACCTCGATGTACATTGAAACAACATGAATTTGAAAACATGAATACAGGACAAGGAAACTTCATGGAATGTATTGACAAACCGCCATGAAAACTATGGTAAATATTGAAGTCTAATATAATGCCGATCTATATTTTTTGAAAAAAGTTCTTTTAATCAAGGTGGGTTGCATGGAATTGCTGAAGAAAATATATAAAAAAAAATGCAGCCAATTCAGTCAAATGATACCATATCTTGAATTTTTAGTTAATTATAGGTGATTCTGTTTATTATTCTGTTATTTTCTGAAACCATCTAACCCAAATAACCCAATTGCTTTTCCAACAGGATCGTACTAATGAAATAAGGAAATGGATTGAGTAATCAATTCAGTATATTTCTCGGTGAAATATGTTTTTTTTTAAATCATACTTGGATTCCACCAATAACCAGCTTATTCTGGTTTGGAACGGGTTTCATTTGTCATCCAAGAAAAATAATGGAATTGAATTCAATTCACTGCAAGGATATATTTCAAACTGGAAATTTTTGGATTCTTGAATCACGAATAAATCGAAACTCAAAAATTTCAGGACTTTCATCATATAAATAGGTGCAAATGTGCTGTACATAACATATTTGTGACGTATTTGCTGCCGGTCTGTATAACGTTAGGCTCCTGAACTATTTCAAATGCACACTAATTTTACTCAGGATCGTCCATGAAGCACAAAGAACCATTGAAGTCGCACATGGACCCAACCAGAAGCTCCTTATGGAATTTTTGGAAAAAAGTTGTCTTCAAAATCATCTGTGTACTTTATAGTGAATGGCTTAAACGTACAGCGGCCCCTGACTCGTGGGCGAAAACCACTTCTTCGAAGCAATTGGCAAAAGATAGAAGAATTACGTAGAAGTTCAAAAATAGTTGAAACTAGTGTTCAATATCGAATGGTTTCCCTCTGCAAATCTATTGATATCCACCAAGTGGTTTTATCAAAATGTCTGCTGTCTTTTTTTTTCATCAAAAACTAATAGTATGCCTATTGCCAGATATTGTGTGTCACTTAAAAAATCAAAAAAAAATTTGGATCAGCTACCAATAAGGCAGAAGGACCTGGCTTACATTGTTCCCACCATATACCGGTCTTTTTTAAAGTTCACAACCTCTCATGAAGCATTCCTTATCGAACAGAAACCTGTGAAAGTTCAATAACTTTTCCTCATGAGAGCATTGATAACGCCTGAAGTATGCCTAAATAAGAGTTCCAGGATGAGCATGAGATACTTCGAAAAATAAGAGACCAAAGTCGATCATATTTTTCATTGGTACAAACTTTGCCTATTTCCAAGCATTGACTAATTTTTCCTGATCACTGAAGGTTTTATTTTCCTAGAAAAAAATCATGTGATTCATTTCTATGTAGATAAAAAAAAGTAATATTTTTTTCCATTTGGTGATAGGTGTTGAATCTTTGTTCAGTTTGATGCAGGAAAATTGAAGAAAGTTGTCTTTTGGAAGATTTCCATCAAACTGTGTTACAGAAAATGAATTGTAATTGCAAAGTTAATAGAACAGACGGTTGAAAAAGGGTAATTTTATTAACACTTTCTGAACCCCAGGAAAGTGCAAACATGCAAGGTTCATATCTACTTATTAAATTAACTGATTCAATGTGAACAATGTTTTTCTTCTGAAATAATCTTCACACTAAAACTCATTCTCGATTTAAACAACTAGGGGTCAGGTGGGGTTTTGTGAAGTGAAGAATATAAACTTACAATTGATTGTAGGATGATTCCATCCGAGATATTCTGGAAATCAAAAAACGATTTGAAATTTGACCACAAATTTTCACGAATTTCAAAACATGAACTAATGAACAGTGTCAACCTAGTTAGTATTTCCTGAACAACAAACATTTTTGGAATGTTCACATCACTGATACATTCAATCAGGGGTGAAATAGTATTTACTTAACCAGTATTTGGTAATATCAGAAATGATTTTATTTGATTATATAATCATCGCATTTTCAGATCCCACTCCCTCTTCAGACTACACTGCCCTTTGAAGGCAAAAATATTATACTAACATAGCCTTCTTAATTTCTCCAAAATACAAATTTTTCCATAATTCGTTATTACTAATAATGTTAACATCATAATAATAATTATTAGCCATTCAATTTGAAATATAAAATAATCTCAGTTAACAACAAATGAATATAGTTCCCACAGAAGGCTAAACCTTTGCGTGGGTTATATCATATTGATAAACAATAAATTATGATGAATGAAATATACAGGGTGTTTGGTAGCTGGGTGCAAACCTTTAAGGGGGTGATACACTTCTTTTTTAATTAGGGTACCTGAACCAGTTAAAGGTCGTAAATATGAATTTTTGTGGAATTAAAGAAAAAAATGTTTTGTACTGTAAAAATTTATTGTTAGTGTTCAGAATGTTCTCCACCATTGCGTATACACTTTCTACAACGATTTCGTACTTCAGTTGTGGTTACTTTCACGGATGATAAGGACAGCAATCCAAATTGGAAATTTGGATTGCTGGTAAATAAATGATTTTTATTATTATTATTTTATTACCCATGTTCAACACGTGTTTAATTACCTAAATTAACTAATTTTATTGCATTTTTGTTTCTATTTCTGTTAAGATTCGAAGTTATTAGCATTTAATTGACCAATTTTGGGTTTTTGTACTAAAAATCGTAAAAGTTCCCTTAAAAATCAAAAACGCTCTAGAAAATAAAAATGTTTGTATGAATATGTTCTACATGGGCTAGTGTATCACCCCCTCAAAGGTTTGCACCCAGCTACCAAACACCCTGTATAAATGAAGTATGAACAAAAAAAGCACTAGAAAAATTGTATACACATATCACATTGAAATCACATATGGTTAATATAAATAAAAACAAACCATGAAGTAATTGACCTACAGAACAAAAATATCATGATGCCTTTCTGCACCTATATTTTTCAATCGAAAGAATTATCCAATTCAATTAACTACTAACGCAATGCCACCGAATTCCGTCCAGTTATGAGTACCTTACTTTGAATCACATTAAAGATATTGAAATAATTATGTAATTTCTAATCATATTATACATGTCTGAAGTTTAATACGTTCATTTGGAAATAATGAAATAAAATACTCTATGTGTTTATTTCAATTTTCTTATTTGCAAATTAAAATATAGGTGCAAAAAAATATTAAGTACACCATTTTCCGTCCGAGCTGTGGCAATTTTACGTGAATCCGTCCACTAGAATACCGGATTCCGACCAGCCATGGAGTAAGAAGGAAAAGCTGAATTATGTCCTTTTCACGAAGTGATAATTTCGTAAAAACAGAAGATCATAACTGGTTCATTAACGAACGTGAATATCACATGAAATTAAAATACAAAACATAACATAACATAGTGGGAACTATTTTCATTTGCATTTTCTGCGGAGTTCAGACTTCAGGAACATAGACACCACGTTTAGAAACTAGTATAATAGGACTTTCAGTTTCAGATATAACATCACTAACACTAACTAACTAACATCATCATAATTCAAAATATCGTCTTTCTCTGGCCATTTCCAGAAGTTTCCACTTATCGTCATGGCCTTTATCTTCAAGCCATTATCTGATTTATCCAGTACTATCCCAGGGAAATATTATACTTCATACTGAATGATAACGTAAGCTCCTTGTGAATATTCTTCTGCTTAATCTTTTTCCTGTATAACTACATTTTTTGCATTTGAATAATCTGCTCTACTTTTCAATTTACTTTGTTGATGTTTGAGCTTGTCTTAGCGCTGGTATTAAATGCGTTTTAGAAATTGGGGATTCATTGGTCGGTCGGTAGCCAAGCGGTTAGACGTGGGGCTTTGTTCACCAGCTCAAATCGACCGCCGTGTTGGTCGGTGGTTCAAGCCCCAAGCTGAACGATCGATTTTCATTTGCTATCGTCCAACCAGTGTTAGGAATCACACGTTAAAAGGTTAGACCTCGTTGATCCTTAGCTCGCACAAGTTTCGACTTCTGAGGGTTGTCGTTCGTAGGGGTGCGACAGCTGGTTAACGGAAAAACAGCTTGTACGAAATGATTTCTTCAACATTGTCTGATGCTGTATTTTTTGTTTTTTATGTCAAGTAAAGCTTTTTCTAGGTTCTCGCGAGGATATGCGAGACGCTTTTTAGAATCCATTATGATGATCTGAAACAAATTTGAAGGTCGCAATAAGGCGATTAGAAAAACTTGATTCCGTCCGACCCGGACGGAAACTGAGGATGTCTGCTCTGTTCCTGACCTAAATTAAATTTGGTTATTACCAACAAAAAATCATTTGATTGAGATCATGTATGAAAGAAAATATAGTAGAAACCTCAATATACCAGGTAATATCGAGAAATATCCACAAATAGTAATTACTAGTTTAAATTAAACATTTAAATTGTCGAAGTAGCTCGATAGTGAATCAGGATTATTTAATAGAATTGTTTTTTAGTTCTGCGTTGAATTACGACTAATCTAATTGATTTGAAGTAGGTCGTATGAAGGTCCCAAATTGTAGAATTACATGAAAATTAAATAAATGAATTCCAAATACATGTTATCGAAATAGAAATAACCGAAACGATTTTTGTATTACGAAATATCAACCCCATTCCGACCGCTTTTATTTACTTGATAAGTTCGCAAATTCAATTGATTGTGCCATCAACGACGTGTTGATGGCAACAAAGTATATATTCAGTCAAAGAAATAGTAAAATACCTACTGTGATTATTTCTATAGAAATGTTAGTGAGTTTGCTGACTCTCCTCCGACTTTTTTTTAATTGGAAAATCGTCAAACTGCCCCATGGTTTTAAGTCGACAGAAGATTGATACTTACTTATTTCAAATCGGCATTTTTACAGTTGACGCATGAATATTAAGTGAATGAAAAACGCGCA